AAACTTTAACCACAGAGTGAATATTTGTGGACGCCGCCACCGCCGACGGAATGTAGGATCGCTATGTCTCGCTTTTTCGACAAAAGTCAAAGGCTCGACAAAAATACCTCCCACTAGATAAGTATCCCTTTGTTTTGCAGATGATACAGGCAAGCCAATAAATTACTAGTAGATCTTTTATAACATTCTTGATTAATTAACAGCATAAGTAACTTAACAGGTAATCTGCAGGTTAAATGATTAATTATGTAAGGTAATGCTTAAAGCATCATTTGTTTTATTACCAACAAAGAAATTCCAAACATTTCTTAAAATGTTGAAGAATGATGATCTGTATGTGTCCTACTCCTACCCACAGAAACCTCTTCCCCCTTTACTTGATTCCAGATTCAATTGAAATAAGATGGTTATCCAAATAAATTTTATTTACCATTTACATCATGCTACAAAATATCCAAATGAAACCAAACACAATCTGCTTTATTAGGTGTGTAGAAATACCAAACAAATTGTTAGTAGTGATATGCTTTTGGCCACTGTTTGTAAATTATCTTTACAATAAAAAGGAGGAAAAGGATCTGCATCATGGGTTTGGTATCATTAGCAAAATATTACAATAATACAAAAATAAAGACAGTACTGAGGATTCAATCTATTTTCATGGTTGTTTTTATAATAGTGTTGTGAATACTAATTAGGGGGAGATAATCAGAATGTAATTTCCAATTACGTAATGTTTATGAATTAAAATAAAATCATGTCTATTTTGTGATACATTTATTAAATTTTGGAATCATTAAGTATAACTATTCTTTGTTTAGTATATAAACTTTAGGCTTTTGAATTTCTTATCAAACTTATAAATGAATAATAGAATTCCATAAAAAAAAAGAATCCACAGTTTGTCACAACTTTTGAAAATAACATTGAAAACATTACAATACTTATACAAAGGAAAATTATGGTAAGATCTACAATAAAAAGTACCGGTATTAAAATCTTAAAAAATACATGAATACATTTTTTTTTTAGAAGTACTTAACTTATTTACTGGGTAATAAAAATAAACTTCATATCTTGATCTGTGCCAAAATGATTAGATCACCAAGGAAATAGTTTACATTTCATTCCACATTTTAACCCAAAGCTGTTTTAGAATATAAAGTTTCTTTACTCCCACCACATGCACCAAATTTCTTAGCAAATTAATTTTTTAAAATTAAGTAGGACATTTCTATTCTTATTTTAGGGAACCTAGGAAGGGAGATAACTAGAATTCAGTTATTATTTCTTATCCCTTAGGGAATGTGCTATAGTAAGCAGGGGTGGATCCAGCCATTTTTAAAACGGGGTTTCCCAACCCAGGATAAAGGGGGGTTCCAACTTTATGTCCCCATTCAAATGCATTAATTGTTAGATAAAAAGGGGTGTTCCAACCCCTTGACCCCATGCAGCACCTGGTAAGCAAGTGTATGAATTTGTGCTCGTCCATCTACAACTTTAACCCACAATTATAAGATTAAATGGACTTTTCCCAAACATTCAAATAATCTTCAGTTTCTGTCGACATTGTGTATTATTTTTTTTAAATTCTAAAAGGTTCTCCAATCAAAGAATAGATTTTTTTTCATTTCTTACATATTAAATCTCATATTGAAGGTAGGTTGGTTCTCATCAGCTGTTATCAACATAGATTTAGTAAGAGGTGATTCTGAACTTACATCAATAAATCTTGAAATTTTGTCAATCTTCAAGGACTGCTTATGAATTTAAAGATAGAGATAAAAGCATAAAAATGTCAGATCTCATTATGTTAATAAATATTTTGCATGTAAAGGCAATATCTATTAAGTTTCTCAACAAACTCAATCATATTAAGGCTTGATATAACAAGATTTGACAATAAAAACAAATAAAATTATATAACAAGAGTGCACACGCTGAAATGTCTCGCCTTCTTTACTAATCATTGATATTATGTTGATAGTCCTAAATATAAAGCTTTATTACAACTGTCACATAAACTTAACATTAACCAAGTAAAGTAAACACTGAGCAATGAACCTTGAAAATGAGGTCAAGGTCAAATAAAACCTGCATAACTGACATATAGATCATAAAATATTTCCATACACCAAATATAGTTGAACTATTGCATATAGTATTAGAAAAAAGACCAAAACTCAAAAACTTAACTTTGACCACTGAACCATGAAAATGAGGTCAAGGTAAGATGACACCTGCCAGCTAGACATGTACACCTTACAATCATTCCATACACCAAATATAGCTGACCTATTGCATGCAGTATTAGAAAGAAAGACCAAAACTCAAAAACTGAACTTTGACCACTGAACCATGAAAATGAGGTCAAGGTCAGATGACACCTGCCAGCTAGACATGTACACCTTACAATCATTCCATACACCAAATATAGTAGACCTATTGCATACAGTATAAGAAAAACAGACCAAAACACAAAAACTTAACTATAACCACTGAACCATGAAAATGAGGTCAAGGTCAGATGACACCTGCCAGTTGGACATGTACACCTTACAGTCCTTCCATACACCGAATATACTAGACCTATTGCTTATAGTATCTGAGATATGGACTTGACCACGAAAACTTAACCTTGTTCACTGATCCATGAAATGAGGTCGAGGTCAAGTGAAAACTGTCTGAAGGGCATGAGGACCTTGCAAGGTACGCACATACCAAATATAGTTATCCTATTACTTATAATAAGAGAGAATTTAACATTACAAAAAATCTGAACTTTTTTTTCAAGTAGTCACTGAACCATGAAAATGAGGTAAAGGACATTGGACATGTGACTGACGGAAACTTCGTAACATGAGGCATCCATATACAAAATATGAAGCATCCAGGTCTTCCATCTTCTAAAATATAAAGCTTTTAAGAAGTTAGCTAACGCCGCCGCCGCCGCCGCCGCCGTAGCCGCCGCCGCCGGATCGCTATCCCTATGTCGAGCTTTCTGCGACAAAAGTCGCAGGCTCGACAAAAACCACTAAAATAATATAAAACCAGATAAAACACAAATCTTGTTATAGCAAAACCTTATATTTTACTTAAAAGCTACAGTGGTAATAAACTGGTGTTTCAAAGAAGAATATATTGAGAATTCTCGTTATATGATATGAAAATTTTGTCATAATGAGATCCAACTATTTAAATTAAAAACAAGATTATAAGCAGGAATAAAAACACAATAAAAAATATTCAAACCAACCTATTCTGCACATGATGAAATTGATGTGTGAGAAGTTAAAACAAAGTATTTAAAAGGTCCATTCTTTCAATTGGGAACCCCAAAATTTCATTATAATAATACAAAATACACACTGCCATTAGTTACAGAAGATAACCTGAAAGTTTCAATGATTTGATTTGATTTGATTTTTGGTGTTTTAACGCCACTTTTAAGCACCGCTTTTGGGCTATTTCGTGGCGGCCAGTTTTTATTGGTGGAGGAAGCCGGAGTGCCCGGAGAAAACCACGACCTTCAATAGGAAAACTGACAATCCTAGCCAATTAAGATTGGAGTCGAGTGCACCCGCACGAGCAGGGTTCGAACTCACAACCTCAGTGTTGACTGGCTAGTGATTACAGTAGTAACTACTTAGACCACTTGGCCACCGAGGCCCCTAAGTTTCAATGAAAATCTACCAATAGTATATAAGCTGTGGAAAAGAGATGATGATGGACAAACAGACAGAAAATACAAATCTTCAACAGCCCATTTCATTCTAGTCTTGAGGGCAGAGAGGAATTTGATCCCCCCTCACTGGGTCAAACCAAAGAATTGAAAATTGGTACTGTAAATTCAGAAATTATTGCGAGGTTTTTATTATTGCGAAAAATGCAATAATTTAAACTCGCATTTTGAAATATTTTATATGAATTAACCAGGATTTTGCTCAAAATTGTAAAAATTAAAACCACATTTAAGTCTTAAATGACAAAATTGCAATAATAAATGCATGCAACAATTTCTGAATTTACAGTATTTAATTCTCCTCTGAAAATCATGCTGCAGTATATGAGTATGAGCAAGGATTCTTCAGCTCAGTCAGAATAATGTGTCCAGGTAGGGTGAAATATTTCGTGTGGACTGTTATGTTGCACAATAAAAATCAACCTTAGTGTGGTGATCTAGTAAAAAGCAGGGTCTATATTCATAACTATGTTCTCATCCTAAATTTTCATTTAATTTGCCACTGGACATTAAACAGCCATCCAGCAAAAATAATTTTACAGGTTCCCGAGTAATCTTGGATAGGGTAAATAATTTTTGAAAAGTTGAGTACAATCCTCCAAAAGATGAACCTAAAAACAATTTCCTTGATGTATAATATATGATGAATGAGAAAAATTATGAAAATCAATTACATAAAAATTAAAAAATTAAACAAACTACTAAAACTGTAATTATTTTCACCTGAGTGATCTCAAATGCTGAATAATGCATTTATAATATATAAACAAACCAATAAATAAAACTGACAGCCATTAATTTGTATAAATGTAAAGAAAGTGGAGTCAAACCCAACCAGATATTCAAACATTTTTATTTGGGGTCAAAAACTTTAGTACTATAAATATTTAACAGTGGACTTGTTTTATATTCTCTGTTTAGCCATCAAAGTCCTACTTTTTTGGATTGTAACCGTCAAAATTCATTTCACAAAGCACTTGTAAGACTTACATGTACATAACTTAAAAAATATATCTAAACCGATGTAAGTCTAATGGGTACTTTGTGAAACAATATGACATACCTTTGGGACCTCTCAAAAAACAATAATTTCACAGTTTTATTTTTCATCAATCACAATACAATAATTGAATGCAAGTTATATTAATAAAAAAATCTATAATATGAACCTCAATAGTCAGCAATAAAAATAAAATTTGTTAACTGTTGTTGTCATTCTGCATACAAGACTACTGTCTAGGGACTCTACGAAAAAGATGGTCACAGTTTATCCGATGGTTTGCAGGATTATTGTCCGAGGATTGTACCATATAAGGCAGCAACAGTAACACTTTCAACTGAAAAGAAGTAAAGTCAAGTTTTAATTGTTTTAAAATTGCTAATATCAAAATAATCTTAAGGGTATATAATAAAATTTAATTGGCAATTTTTTAATTAAAAAAAACATATCAATGAATGTGAAAACTCTTCTTTTTTTGCTACTTATATTTACTGGATACTTCTGTGCAGCTATTGTAAAAATTCGTAAGGGTTCCGCGGAACCCAGTGTCTCGCCTACTTTTGCTGTTAATCGCAGGCTCAACAAAAATGAGGAAAAAAATTAATAAAAATATTCCTCTCTATACTATCTTTTGATTGTAAGTAGCTTCTGTCCAAGTTTGGTAAATATCCAGGATAGTTTATCAATCTAATAAATGTTTTAAAAACTTAAAGTGCAGACTGTATGTAATGTTAACTGGAAGAAAAACTAAGTCCATTTACAAGTAAAATACGGAAAAAATGGAATTTATTTTTTACTTTTTTACAAAATTTACTTCTGGATACTATCTTTTGATCATAAACAAGGTTCTTTCCAAGTTTGGTAGAAATCCAGGATAGTTTAAGAAAGTTATTAAAATTTCAAAAACTTTTACCACAGAGTGAATGTAATGTTTCATGGCAGAAAAACTAAGTCCATTTATAAGTAAAATACAGAAAAAATGGATTTTTTTTTTTACAAAATTTACTTCTGGATACTATCTTTTGATCATAAACAAGCTTCTTTCCAAGTTTGGTAGAAATCCAGGATAGTTTAAGAAAGTTATTAAAATTTCAAAAACTTTAACCAGAGTGAATATTTGTGGACGCCGCCGCCGCCGCCGCCGACGACGACGCCGACGGAATGTAGGATCGCTATGTCTCGCTTTTTCGACAAAAGTCGAAGGCTCGACAAAAATGAAGAAGAAAAAAAACTTCAATACACAATAATAAATTTTGCCAACTTTTGACTTGACATCAAATACCTCAGCAGCGCAATTAGTTGAAATATCAAATCAATGAAAGCAGAAGCTGCTGATAAATTCACTTAATAAAAAGTTAAAAATAATGAATATTTTATTATTTGTTAGTTAATTGATGCTTACTCCAAATAAAATTTTCTCCATGATAAAAATGTAGGAATGAATTCTTTTGAAATTTGAAATGAAAATATGGAAGACTGAATGTAAGGTAGTTATCATACATTTTTTTTTATGACAGCTTGGTTTTACATGATATCAGGTTATCTCCCCTTCATATCTCTTATTAGGTACATTTATCTAATGAAAAAGGGAGACAAATCAGTAAATATGGATACACTTCTAAAGTAAAGGTACAACATTTAACATTGAAATATATTGGGATAGATATAAAGATATCTAGGGGCATTCACAATTATGTAACATAAATAATTTTAAATCCTATGTCTCACCTTTAAACAGCTCTAATTTCTCCCTCAGCAAGTAACGAGGGGGGATAGGACCTTTATCGGGACTCCCGGATCGGGTGTTTTTAAGCTTGGGATTTCGGGATTGACCCTTTCGAGATCCGGGAATTCTTTTTTTGAATTTCGGGATGTTGGGATTTAAATTTGGGACCTCAGGATTTCGGGATTTCGTGTTGTTAAGCCCGGGGTTTCGCGATCAGGAACCCCCCCCTCAAACTAGTGGTTTTAAATTTGCAATAGTAAAATAAACTTGTATTTCATCATATTGTATAGTATTTTTAAAAAACCTTTAAAATATTGATTGATGTAAACTATTTAAAAAAAGCTTTAATACCTGCCAACATGTTAACAATATCAGATATCCAAGTCTTACTCCCGACACCATGAAAACATTGTAATTTCAACAACCTGAAATAACAAAAAAAATATACTTGTTTTAAAGATCGAATTATGGTGAAGAGGAGTAACAAAATTATGACTTGTTTCATTTTTTATGAATTTGTTATTTATTATCATCTTCAATATGTAAACTTGATACCAAAGGCAGAAAACAAAAACATTTTAATACAAATAATTACAGTTATGTTATAAAATAACAAGTTATGCAATGATGAAGATATCCTCAAAATCAAACAAAACCCCCTTAACAAATAATTCTAAAAGCCTATGATAATATTATCATAAATTTCGTGGAATATTTCAACTCACCACATATTTTTCATGGTAAGACCTCAGATTTGGTTGAAGATTTAATTGACCATCTTCCTTAGAGCTGCTATCCTGGCTGCAAAGCTTTTTCATGCCCATATGATTTAATTGTCCATTTGCTTTCAGAAATATTATTATATATATAAAAAAAATATCAGAAGCATTTTTAACAAATCACTATTATCAGAAAATTTCGCATAATCAAATGTAGTTACCCACAATTTCTCCAACCCTCCAAATCTATTATCTAGAGCTCTGCTTTTATTTTTTTTTTTTACAGAACTCTAAATAATAGTTAACTTTAGCTAGTATACATCTGATATTTAAAGAAAATGTGTACAAAAGTGAATATTTAGGTAAAAAAAAGTTACATTCCTTATTAACACTGAGGAACTTTAAATTATGAGGAGTTTAACAAGGGAATTACCTCCCTTTGCCCTGAAAATTTCACCCTGTTGAGACTCCACATCCTTCCTATATTTAACACAAATACAAAATATAGCATGATTAAAATTAAAAAATAATATATAAAAACTACAACACATTTCAAAAACTAATTTTAATAATACTTTTTTACGTAGGGGCCTTGGTGGCAGAGTGGTCTAATTAGTTCAACTACTGTCTCACTAGCCTGATAAAACGGAGGTTGAGAATTCAAACCCAGCATGTGGTCGGTGTGTTAGACTCAAATCTTAATTGACTAGAATTAACAGTAATCTGGGGGAAAGTTGGTGGGTATTTCCTGTTACTTTTTTAACCAATAAAAAAATGGCCACCAAGATAAAACAAATCAGGCTGAAAGTAGAGTTTTACACCAAATGTCAATCAATCAATCTTTATTCACTAAGATGTTCCTTTACTATGCTTCATGTAAACAATTGTAATTTTTTTTTAGCTAAAAGCACTGTAAAAAAATAACAAAAAGTTGGAAAAATATCTAACAATTCACAAAACTCAAACACAATATATTTTTTTTCTCTTTTTTTTTTTTTATTTAGATTCTCCATTATAAACCTTCTGGAAGCATTTTGACTGGACAGACCATTACATGTATTAAGTTTACAAGTAAAATTGTAAAATTATTCTGTTCCATATCATTTTCAAAGTACAACTGAAATCGAGTTACAGGGGAGAAAATAATGAATAAGATCTAAACTATGAAACAACATACCAAAAACTAGTTCAGTATCCATAAGCATGACAAGTGTCAAAGCAATAATTGACATAAGTAGATATACCAGAATATAGCTTTAGGTTTTAATGGAAAAAAGAAAGAGTAATTTTGAAATTTCAAATACAAGATAACCTTCAACTTCCAATCTTGTTGAAAATGGAGAATCTTTACACATTTTTTTTTTCGTAAACAATTACATTTTCTGAAAAATACACAAAAAATTTCTGAATTACATGCTTTACTGTTATATCGCATAATAATTTTATGCTGCATCCGTAGTTAAAGTTTCCTGAAAAAGAAAAATACATTCTTAAACATATATCAAAACATGATCAAACTTATATAAAAATTTAAACAATATCAAATACAATTATTAGCAAATATGGATGAAAAACTAATGGTTGTTGTGTGTCATGTTTATTTTTTTTGTTTAATCATTTTCATGAATCATTGCATTGGTTTTCTTGTTTGAAAATGTTTCACATTTTGTCATGTCAGGGCCTTTTGTAGCTTACTTATACTTGTACTGTAAATTCAGAAAAAATTTTGAAGAATGGACAAATATGCAAGATTAATAATTGCATTTTAGGAAACTCTACATCAGATATAAGAATGTGAGTTCTTATTATTGCGATATTCTACCAGTCGCAATATTTGCATTAATTAAAACTAAGTAATAATTTCTGAATTTACAGTTGTATAGGTTTTGCTCATTGCTGAAGGTCCTACGGTGACCGTAAGATGCTTTTATATTCATCATTTTGTCTCTTATTGATAGTTGTGTAGTTGGCAATAATATTACATCTCCTTATTCTTTTATACCCTATCCAGATTACCAGTATACATAAAATTTAATTTAGAAAAACATTAAAATGTTAGATCTACGTGTGTACATAATTAAATCCATGGTAAATTAACATGCTCTTAGATGAATAGTTCATTATTCTATATTTTTTTTAGTTCTTACCAAAAAATTTAGCTCCAATGGCCCTTTCCCAGCGTCAATCCTTACAGACAAGCTGTAGTGCTAAACCTGAAATATAAAATGCTCAGTCATTCAAAGTTGTTTTAAAGGTTCTCTTTTTGTATACTGTATCTACATTATATAAAATTGGTTTATTTATGTGTGATAGGTTTTAAGAACATATCTATTAGCCATCAACCCAACATACTTTAATGTAATCAATTTAATCCTAAAAGGGGTAGGTTTAAAAAGGGCTAAAGTTGTCACTAAGATTTTAATGTTTTTTTTAAATCATGCCAAACTGTTGTGATATCATTATTAATACAAAATAACCAAAGTTGGTAATTCTTTGACCAAACTTATATAAACCTTTAAACCTTAAAGTCTGTATTTATTTTGAAATTATCTTATTTATATATATTTTTTTCATTATCAAAGCAGGATTCACATACTGGTACATACCTACATATTAGCTGTATTAGACCACCAAGTCTTATTCCCACACCATAAATACATCTTGCAGAAAGTACCTAAATTGAAATTAATATATTTATTTTACAAATCCATTTCTATGTCAACCTAAAATTTACTTTAAAATTGTTCTGATTTCTTACTACATGCACCAATAGTATAACCTCCACATATTTGGTAAAATTTATATAAAAGATTGAAAAACAAAACAAAATAGTCAAAAGGTTTATGATTTGAATTTCAACTGCTCACAACTAATTTCAATATTTTACAATGAGTTGTCTCCCATTGAATGAACAAATCTTGCTGTTAATTGTGCTAGTCTCCCCTTGAAAGTTAATTCCTATCTCAGGATTTACTCCTGTAATTGTAATAGAAATTCTTGTTAATGTACCTGGTATCATAAAATATTAATCTTGTAAATAAATTCTTCAAAGGTGTTTTTCATGCAGAAAATAAGGATAAATATGCACTTTTTATCAAATTTTCTAGAAAAGCATAAAAATTGTTTGGCTTCAATAAACTTGCCTTCTTATTTCTCATGGTAAAGCCTCAGACTTGGTTGAAAATTTAATTGACCATCTTACTTAGAGCTGTTCTCCTGGCTGCAAAGGTGACTGTCATCATTATCTTAAAGACAATCTTATTTTTTTCAGTCTATTGATTTTATAAATTAAGTAAAATATAAAAAAACAAAACAATCAGATGCACTTTCAATTAATGAACTATCTTGAAAATTTCACCAAATCAATTCAAATCATGATATCTCTCACCCTCATATATCTATTATCTAGAGCTCTGATTACATTTTTTATTTACAGAGCTCTAAATAATAGTCATTATTAGCTAGTATACATCTGATATTAAAACCAAAAACTTTTATACATATATGAATTATCCGAGTAAAATATTCCCAAACAGAAGGAAATTTCAAGAATGAGGAGTAAAACAGGGATATAACAAATTACCTCCTTTTGTCCTACATTCACCCTGTTAGGACTCCACATCATTGCTATATCTTACAAAAATAGTATAGCTAAAATTAAAAGATAATCTGATATGAAAAATCCAAACATTCAAATAACATATTTAGTACATCAATTTTCACCTAGGGGCCTTGGTGGTTCTCTCCCATTACACCGACTCCCTCAACCAATAATAAAATGACCAGAAAAATAAAAATCTTGCTAAAAGTGGTGTTGAACACTAAAAATATGAATCGATCTTTTCTCACCAATATGTTTTTTTTACTATGCTTCTTGAGAAATAATCTTATTTCTTTTTAGCTTTACACACTGCTAAAAATAACAAAAAATTGGAAAATATATACATCCAGCAAATCAGAAAACCCAGAAAATACATTTCATTAAAATATCATTTTTTTTTTTTTTTTTTAAATCCTCCATTCTTAACCTACTGGAAATGTTTGATAACACGTACATTGACCATAATTAAGAAATCTCAAGTAGGTCTACAAGTAAAATTTTAAAATTCTGAACTATCAAAGTTAGCCTACAACTTCCAATCTTGTTGAAAATAGAGAATCTTTACAATTTATTTTTTTGGGAAAAAATTGTAAACATTTTTTCAAACATACACAAAAAATTTCTGAATTACATTCTTTATTGTTTCAGTTGTATCACACAATAACTTTATGCAGCCACAGTTGCAGTTACCTGAAAAAGAAATATACTTTCTTAAACATATGTCTAAACAATATTTAATGCAAAGAAATAATTAACTGGGCTTCAAACTTACGATGCATTTAACATTTCTTTAACTTTGTTTGAAGGTGGTACCTAACACTATGTACAGGGAGATAACTCTGTAAAATCAGCTAAACGTTTTAATCACATTGTATTGTTGAGTAAATATTAAGCTTCTCAATGATCAAAATTAGTGTTTGTCAAACTGCTATATATCCAATGAAATTTTCTGAGAAAGTGATTGTTTCAAGTTTTTTGAAATTTTTTATATTTTTTTCAAAGGGTCAAAGTAATATTTTGTCAAAATTTTATGAAATTAAATGAGCCAAAGTAATTTTAGTCGAGGTGTTGGGTACCACCTTAAAGTGATGTGTAAACATAAATATTGAACAACCAGTCTTCATTAGCAAATACAGGATGACATACAAGTTGTTGGTTGATGTCTGACATATTTGTTTCTATTTCATTGTTTCATCATAAATTAGTAAGTTGATTTTCTCGTTTGACTTGTTTCACATTTTGTCATGTTGCTAACTTCTATAGTTTACCGTAAGGTAAAGGTTTGCTCATTTTTGAAGGCCATACAGTGACCATGAGTTGCTTACATCCATGTCATTTAGTCTCTCAGGGTGATAGTTATTGCATTGGCAATCAAACCGCATCTCAGATTATATATGGGGATAATTTTAGACAACTTAAAACAGATAGCAAGATTTTCTTTGTATTAAACAGTATAATTTTTTTATTTCCCTTATTTTTCTTGATACCTCCTTCCAGATTATATATAGTTATAATTCAAGAAAAATTAAAATATTATACAATTACTGTCTTTTGATGAGGTCAATATCATATGTGGTTTTATTGACTTTTGAAAACCTGAGGCCAACGGCTGAGGAGAATATCAGGTTTTCAAAAGTCAATTAAAGCACACATTAACCGAAACAAGACAGTTATTGCTTTATTTCATATTCTGAGAGAGTACAGAGAAATGCTTTTAATGACAATTATTTCAAAAACCAATTGTATATCAAACGATTTTAACAAAA